CCCAATATCGTACATCTCTCTTTACCTGCAGTTGTGTTCTGCCAGATGCTGGGGAAGCACAGCTTGTGTGGCTCGATTCTACAGGCTTACGCCACATCCGCCGACCCCTTCTGTGACTGTTGCGAGGCCAGGAGTTTCTGGCCAGCGGCGTCTTGTGTGAGGGTGCGGTGTCGCGCGCGGGTGGTGGCAGATACGTAGGGGGTCCACATGTTTGCGTGATGCCGGTGGTCTGGGGCGTGTTTTGCGAGCGCTTTGCGTGCTGTGCACCCGGGTGCGGGGTGTCCTTCTGGGAGGTCGGCCTCTCGCCCCTCAACCAAGTGGAGGAGCACCGGAAGACGAAAGGAGCAAGAGTAGCGTGCGGAAGCTGTGATCAGCGAAGCATCACCGCGAAAGATGTGGCAGATGAGTCGAAACGGGTGAAGAGGCTGTTGACGTTCGCAGCGCGCACGAAACAGTTCGCGTAGCAGCAGCACGTCGCGTAGCACAGCGCCGAGCAAGATTGTGAGCACGTCGCGAGGAAGAGCAAGGCTGCATGCGCGGAGTGCATTGCAGTTGGCTTGACGGCTCGCAATGCGGAAGCGTCTGGTGGTCTTTTGGAGGCCTCCTGGGGGCCTCTTGGGGGCTCCTTGGGGCGTCTTGGCGGCCTCTTGGGGGCCTCTGGCGGCCTCTTGGGGCACTCTTGGGGCCCCCTGGGGCTCGTGGGGGCGGGAAGCTAGATTTTTGAATTTTTGGTTGCCCTCTTGGGCCCCTCTTGGTGCCGTCTTGTCGGAAATGCGCGGAAGAACGTCAGAGGACGACGCTTGAGTCCAATAATAGGAAACGGAGAGCCGAGGCGGAAGCGAAGCCGCTGACGTGCGCGGCGTGCGGAGGAGCGTTCTCAGACACGAAACATTTGAGGCAGAGCCAAAAAGAACATCATCGATGGTCGAATCAAAAAAAGGTGGTGTGCGGAAGCTGCGCGGCACTCGGGTTCACAGCCCGCAGTTGCCAGGCGTATCAGTGCAGCGGCGCGTGCAAGAGAAGACTACCGAAGTCGGCGTTCCCCGACCCTCACAATGTCCCGCGCGACGCAAAAAAAGGCACTCTGAAGTGCAAGACCTGCAAATGATGCCGAATCGGGCGCGCGCGCTGAGGAAAAAGGAGAACGAGGACAGGAGAATGGGGGGTGAGGCGGAGGACACAGGGGAGAATCATCGAACGTGTCGAGGTGACGGGCCATGAACAAGAGGAGGGGGACGAGGAGGAGGGGGACGAGGAGAGGGTGGTTGAGGAGGAGGATGAGGGGGACACTGAGAGGAGGCTCTGGGTTATGGTCTTTGGGTGAGAGGTTCTTGTATGTGTATCGGAATTTCGCGGCACTCCTTTCGGGGGCCTCTGGAAAGCAGTTTTGACGCCACTGGGGGGCCGACGTGGACAAGGCGGGTGAGGGGGAGGAGGAGGGGGACGCGGAGGAAATGTTCTGGGTCATGGTTTTGGAATTCTTCGCCTCGGGAGCGCGAATCCCGCTTGTGCGATGATCGCTGGGATCTCTGGTGGTGCTTCTCGCGGGACTCTTGGAGGCAGTTTCGAAGCCTCTTGGGGGCCGTTTTGGGGCCGTTCTGGGGCCTCTTGGGGGGCCTCTTGGGGCCTCTTGGGGGCGTCTTGGGGGCCTCTTGGGGCCTCTCGGGGCCTTTTAGGGCCGTCTCGGGGCGGAAGGCTCGGGATGTCAGTTCGGGCTCCCTCTCTTGGGCCCCTCTTGGGGCCGTCTTGGGGCTCTCTTGGGCCGTCCTGGGGGCCTCTTGGGCTGTCTTGGCGCCCTCTTGGGCGGACTTGGGCGCGTGTTGGGGGCCTCTTGGGCCGTCTTGGGGCGGTCTTGGGGTGCTCTTGGACCGTGTTCAACGCCGTGAAGGCCGAGAAGCCGTATATGATCAAAATGTACGTTTTCCATAGGAATTTGAAGATTTTCGGCTCTTCGGCCCTTCTGAGAACTGCTCTTGGAGGCCTCATGGGCCGTCTTGGAGGCCTCTTGGCCCGTCTTGGGGCCATCTTGGGCGCCTTGGAGCGTTCGTTTGGCGTCTCGGGGCCCTCGTGGGCCGTCTTGGAGGAGTCTTGGGGCCTTCTTGGGCCGCCTTGAGAGACTTTTGAGCCCAAAGAAGCTCCGTGAGTCGCTCGGGCGGGGCCATGGGGGGGGGGTCAAATCGCCAGTTTGGGGTCCCTGGGGGGGGACTGTAGGGGGGGGAACTATCTCACACGCCTAGGGACCCACAAGGGGTCGGCGGATTTTCAAGTCACGGTTCGGACCACACTAGATAGATCGAAGAGGTGTCGCCATCAGCTGGATATTGTCGCGGTTGGTCTCGGGAATGCATATCCGTAAGGGCTTCGCCCCCTGCCGCCGGCCCCCCTCTCTTAGAATGGGACTTGCCAGAGCTGTGTTGGGATGTTTGGACGCTGACGTGAAGCAATGTCGGGACTTCACGCGATGGCCAATATTTATGTACGAGGGTTTATTGCTTCGGTG